TTCATGGCCTTTTTTTTCTCTATCTTGCTTGATAATCACATGTCCTGCAGAATCAAAACATAAAGTTCCACAGAGATCTTTTTCTCCATCTCCTTTTGAGGTTTTTTTATGTGATGGTAAACCAAAGAAGTTTACAGTCACTTAACTTCCCCTGTTTTTTTAGCTGCAAGTTCAAAAAAATCAACACACTTGTTCAAGCTTCAGATTTTCTTTAATACCTAAAAGACATCAAGCATGAAAGGTACCAACTCAGGTTGAGAAAAGCAAAATCTTTTGTTGTTTTGTCGACATGAGATGAATGTCTTTCCTCAACTAGTTTGCTTATTTGAGCTAAAAATAAGCTGCAAAAGTCCTATTTGTAAAAGAGAGGAGCCGAGACACAATGAAGGATTGATAAACGGTTAAAGCTATCTTAATTTTTACCTCTCTGGAACCACGGTTTTCGAGCTAGATTGCGGATATGGCGTTCGTGACGTTCCAATAGTTCATCGACTCCATAAGATTGGGACAACAAAGGGCCCGAGAACTCGATCTTGTCCGCATCACCCTGTCAAGGTTTTAAGTTATCAGCATCATTAAGCATGCATGTCAATATACCCAAAAAAAGAGACAAACCAGATCATGCCTACTTTTTTCTCTTTCTCTCTCAACTTTAGGTAAAAAGCGTGAAGAGAGAGAGAGAAACAAAAAAAAAAAACTTTTAACAGCTGACCAAACATGATCTGACTACAACGGTAACCTTGTCCTTCCTTTCTACTTTTTGAGCTGCATATGTGTATTGTGAATCTAATAGTTCCTCTAATCTTCAAATTCACTTAGACAATTGTATCTTTGGAGTTACTTTCATTTTATTCTAAGACAATTGATTTTGATTGACACTGGCATTACAGCATAAGGATAAGTGAAGCCAAGTTCTTAGTTTCACTTGAAAGAATGTCTGGCACAAAGCAATACTTGGTCTCTACTATGTCTAGCAAGGAAACAATGCAAACAACGAGATTCTATTTGAAATTTGGTTATCAAATAAACTAAAAATGTGCTTTTAGAGCTTCAATAATCTACGGACGTACCAAATTATTACCCAGCTTTGTTGCCATTTCATCTCTCTGATAGAGTCCCAGTGACAATTCCTGCGAGTGATACTCGTCAGACGCGCCAAAAGAATCTGGACGTTCAAGCTGTCTCCACTGCTTCAGCATAGAACGCTTCACCATCTCATATGACTCCTGGCTTCGAGAATCAGTCTTGTCCTCACGTTTTTCCTCCTTTTCGTTCTCCTTTATTTTAGATTCAACATCACTCTTCCCATTGAAAGCGGGAGAATGTCCCGAAAGGTTAGGAATGTGACCTCTTGAGAGAGATCGATTATGTACCCTAACACATACATCATCCTTTTCTCGTTTTGCCCAAGCAAAACTGTTTGATATTGAGACTTGTAATGGCCCTGAGAAAGGTACATCTCCATGTGATGCATTCTTTATATGGGAAGCTTCGTCTTTCTTGTGATTTAATGGGTTTTGCAGTTTCTCACGTAACTTGGCATCACTTTCAATCGAATTATGAACTAAATGACCAATTCTTTTCTGAAAAGTTTCAGTTTGGTGCCGCACATCCTGCAAACACAAAAGAAGACACATTTGAGGCACAAGGAATTATAATCTCTAGATGTAGATAACAGGTAGACAGGAACGTAAGTAGAAAGTACCTCAGCTGGTGCCAGTTTATTGAATGAATGGGCCTTCCGAGTTGGCTTCCTCGATTCTATACCACGTCTCGCATTCCCGCTAGTTTTTTTCCTGAAAATCGGACATGACGTATGAAAATGTTACAAATGCTTCCAAGACGTGACATGTAAGGCCAACCAAGGTCATGTCCCGCTAATAATGATTGTGAGTTTCTCTACCAAGTAATGAAAGGAATTTCTTACCTTGTTGCTTCTTCCCGATGCTTTGTATCTATCTCCTTGCTAGGTGGGTATACTGGCAAGCTTGAGGGATCACAAGCAAATGGCTTTGAAGTAAAATACTGAAAAGATAAACGCAATGTCTTCATTTGAAAGAGATGAGCAAAACATAGTAATACGGTTTGTTTCCATGGATATCAAATTGCTTTAAACTTCATGATGTAACACTAGCTAATTCATGGATAAAAAGGTTACCTGAGAAACAAGGGCACTAGAGGCAGTACCGCGTGTGTGGGGCTCTATAGAAAGAAGAGTTTCTATCAGATTGATTTCAGTCTCAGACAAATCTTTCAAGGTTTCCCGGAGACAACTGTCATAATTTTGCTGTGGCTTAAAAAGCATTGCATGAGGAAGTTTGGACTTTTTCCAGTAATCTTCCGGTGGAGATCCACACAGTTTGAATATCTTGTGCAGCTGCTCAACCTGTTCCACACGATTCAAGTAATAGCACTGAGTTAATTTTTTCAACAAGTACAAGAGGAACATATCCATGACCAAAAGGTCCAATATCGTAAATAACACATTCATAGGAGAAAATGTTACGCGGTATACCTCAGTTCTTCCTCGGAGAATAGGTTTCCCAAGAAGCAGCTCAGCGAAAACACAACCAACACTCCACAAATCAACAGCTGCTCCATAGTCCGTTGCCCCGAGCAAAAGTTCAGGCGGACGATACCACAAAGTCACAACTCGACTGGTAAGAGGTTTCTTCTTGTGCCCAGAAGAATTGCTGAAGTTTGCTAACCCAAAATCAGCCACCTTCAGTATTCCTTCATTACTCAACAAAAGATTCGAACCCTTTATGTCCCGATGCATCACGCCTCGCGAATGACAATGATCAAGCCCAGACAACAGTTGCTTCATGTAACACTTAATCTGCAGAGGCCAAAAAACCAATGATCATACAACCAAACACATAACAACATTATGGTCATTATGATAAAACTAGACGAACCTGTGGCTTGGTGAATTTCACGTCAGGTGAAGAAAGAAGACCAGTAAGATCATGCTCCATATACTCGAACACGAGTTGTATATTGCAAGATAATTTGGAAGTAATCAAACCTTGAAGTTTGATAATGTTTGGATGATTGAGTCTTCTAAGTATCAAAATCTCTCTTGCCATAAACCTAACACTCTCTGGCTCAAAATTGTCAAACCTCACCTTCTTCAACGCCACAATCCTACCAGTTTCAGTCTCTACCGCACGAAACACACTGCTATAAGTACCTTGCCCAATCTACATAACCAATCTAAACTCCATCAATTTCACAACTCCAAAACAACATTTCGTATAGTACACAGAGAATTATAAAAGCAAAACCTTCTCGAGCTTTTCGAAAGCATCGGATCGAAGTGGGACCCAACCATGGATAGCTTCACCAGCAACGTTGCTTAACCACGCAGGCCAACCAGCAGCGACTTGCTCAGCTTCAATGTATTTACTGAGATTACCGAGTCGGAAACTCAGCGACTCACTACCACGGCCTGACTCGCTACCCAACTCGCTACCGCTCTTCTGACTCCTCTTCCCGCTCCTACTCCTCCAGGACACGAGCTTCTTCAGAATCGGGCGAGGCGGATCCTCAACCACGACCCGACCCGATCCGGAACATTCATTGTCATTGTCCCTGAAGATACCTGAGTGATCGATCGCAGGAGTCACAGAGACTGTCTGCTTCGAGCTAACGCAACCCATTTACAGAATTTCGAATACTTCTCAATCACCACCGCAAGTAAACAGCTAATCTCTTTTCCGGCGCCGACAACACACGATTCCGATCCGGATTCGAGTGAATCTCCTGAAAGTAGTGAAGGTTTCGTATTTTTATTACGAGAGAGAGAATTTAAAGAATGTTTTTAAGACTCTTGTAGAAGACGACGGTATATTTAAAATAAAAATAAAAAATGATTTTTTAAAATATAGATTCAAAAGAAACATGCATTTTATTATTCTGGACCAAAATATCGAATCTACACCTTCCAATTTTGAAACCAAATTTAGCATATAGTTAATGACAGCTTTTTTGTTGAAATAAATTGTAGACTACACAAATGTGGAAGAACATATTTGAAAAAATGAAGACTAGTATTAAAGTGTTTTGGAAATAATATAAATAAAAGGAAATATTAATGGCTGTATGTATTAATTTGTTTTTGGTCTCTAGTCAGTAGTCAGTACACACAAATATGGCTATTGAATTATTAATTGTCTGAATATGATGACTTTGAAATGATTTTATCCATAAGCACTAAGAAGCATTAGAGAGAGACTAATAAGATTTTAAAAGCTAAAACTATGATTAAATTTCCATAAGATAAGTCAAAACAAATTCATTACGGAGACATATAATAATTGCAAAGAGAAACTCACTTGTGTCTCTAATGCTTTGCCAGCTCTTAGCCTATGATGATGACTACTACTATTCATCAGAATATCTCTTTTTCTCAACATTCAAGCAATAAATTTATATTTTTTTAAATATGATTTAAGGTAAGAGTAAATTTTGTTACAACCCCATTGACAACAAAGTTATGGCTAACAAGATGAATTTTTCTATTGGTTCAGTTTATTTGTATTTTATCTCTAAAAAAGACAAATAAAAAAACAAATCAATAACTATTATATATGCAGAAAATACAAAAGGCAAAACAAAAAAAAAAAGATTTGTCATTATATTCAAAAAACGCCATCATTCAAAACTCAAATCCAAATTATTATGATCTTCAGTAAAATAGATTTTTAGTTGAAATTTTGTCATTGATTCGATGATGATCATAAAGACAATCGTAACATAATGTTAATAATGATGATCAGATTAATAAGAAAAGATATCCCAAGAAAAAAAGACTTGTAAGTTGATGTCATTATGTATTTCACACAAAAGGGACATAGTCTCGTACGGTTCAACTACACCACCATTTAAAGTAACATGCCTCTAAAACTCTCATAGACCAAAACAAAAGTAGGCACAACAACTTAAGAAACCCAAGAACATAACTTTGTCTGAATTACGATTGTGTAATCAAGCCTTCTTATTTTTAGATTTGAGCATGACCATACCGATGAATATGGAAATGAGAGAGAGGAGAGTTACACCGGCAAAAACAGGTACGAGAATGGCGTAGTCTTGGGGCAAGAAGTACTTGTGGATGAAGTGATCACTATCTACAAATGGCTGTGGCAAAGGAAAATTAGAACACATGAGCTTCTTCTAAGTGATATCCAAAACATTAGATTACAATGGTACATGAAATTGGCAATGTATTTTTAAAGGAACTTGCTTGGAGGAGATGAATCACTTACAAGGATGATGACCCAGAAAGTATAGTAGGTGAATATGGATAAGCTGATTGAAGATAATAGAAGCCCGACTGCTCGATCCGCTAATTCCATTTGTCACTTTCTCTACCTGCAGCATAGTGAATACAACAATGAGAATAAATCAGATAGATTCAAGAAGCATAAACATTTGGAAGACACATTCAAAAGCGTGGAAAGTTATATTGCAAATGCCACTGAAACCATTTCACCTAGAATTTCCCAACAAGAACAGCTAATGCCGTAGTTTTAGATTCTGAGTGTGTGTGCAATACTGCACAGGGCCAATCGAAAACTAAAACAGCCGAAGAACAATAATCACGGGACCTTGGAGTTGTTTCACATCAGATACATGGAGCTCTATACACTGTCTGAAAACATCTCAACAGTTTCCCTAGGAAGATATCAACAACTTGCAGGGCTCTTATAGTGGAGAGAAAGTAATCATTTCCAGGCTCCAAAATCAATGGCTTGAAGTGATATTTGACCCATATAGAGATCTTTGAGGTGTTGCTTACACAGTCCTATCCTCCTTCCATTCAAGCTAGAAGGAATACAAACAGAAAATCCAGTTTTCCAACCAGGAAACTTCTGTCTTTCCATTGCATGTAGAGTATAAACAGCAGGTGCAGCCATCGAGCAACCAATTACGAAGCAATTGCAAGGCCTTGATTCACTCACTATTCGAGCTAAAGACAATAAACACAATCCACTGTTGGAAATGCCGTATGTTAGATGCTCATCCCTGTCAGAAGCCGAAGAATCTAGTTTCTCATGTTGTATTTCCTGTTCTATATCTTCAGCAGAGGGAATCGTGCTCAGTTCTAAATCAAGGCGTTTCTCTATTTCATTTTCATGTATACGATATTTTGATGCCAAAGTGCGGATGCATGACTTTCTGACCTGATTATCAATAAGAGCCTTTATCTCATCGAAATTACTACAGCCTCCATACCATATCACCCATCGCCGTACAAGTCCTGAGAACCAATCAATTATTTGGGCAGTATCTTGCAAAAGAAGCATAGAATTCGTACGAGCATAACCCTCAGTTGTTACTAATCCATAGCGGAAAAGACGCCTTCTTATGGCATTGGTAGGAGCAACAATATCACCAAAGAAAACAGGTCCATCATGAGAACGTGGACATGTCAAAAGCGCTTCCATTTTAGCTGTCTCTGAAGAAACATATGCTGCAGCAGAATTTCGGAACTTGTAAAATGCGTCTCTTAGTTCTTGAGGAATGGCAGGTTCAACAACATGCTTGGACAAGATAAATTCCTCGCTTCTATCTGCAGATGTCCTTAGCACATCCTCCATCCATATTCTAAGCAAGACCTTATACCAATGATCTGTCTCCATACCTGCCTTTCTGTGGCTAGATATCTGACTCAAGGTAGAGTTGCTATCAGCCAAGCCTTTGATTTCAGACTCCTTGACCTTCTTTAATCCATGTCCTAACCATTTCTTTCCAATTCTAACTGTACCCAAGGTCCAGGCCTCTTCTTTCTGCAATGCAAAGAGCTTAACCTGCTCCTTTAACTTGTGGACAGCTTTGACAGCAGGACTCTCCCTAACATTTTTCCTAACCAAGGTACCCAAAACACGAAGCCCACTGGTCGCTTCACATGGTGACGGGTCTGTTTCATCTGTGATGTCCAAATACAGTGAGTTCCGTAAGAAACCTATAGCTTCAGATCTGATATCAATCGCAGCTTTTTTGGGGCCAGACACAGAGAAAAACATCTCATCCATAAATCTGCAACAATAAACTCTGAGAGTGATGGCCTGCTCTGGAGTACTTTTTAAATCTTGTTCTCCGGCCTGCCTCCTGAACCAGGAACGAAGTTTTGAGCCTACGCTATCTTCCTCAGTCTGAACATCATGACCAAGGGCTTCGTGCCTCATTGAGATTCTATAAAATTCATGATCGAACCGGTCAAGATAAATGTTCATCAGCACACGGGACAACACCCCTTCTTGTGGAAGACCATGGCCCTTGGGAAATCCTCCAAATTCGAGATTGAGCACTCGGGCTTCAAACATAGAACGGAGAAAGATAATTAAACTACTGTCTTCTATTTTTTCCTCCATTACAGAGAGCAAATTCTCGAAAACAGAAACATCAAGTTTTTTGTTCAGGCTCAAAGTGAAACACCAATCAGAATGAGATATATTGTTGCTGATGTACTTCAATGCAGATGCACGTCCCCTTCCGCTCCGACAACTATGTGAAATCTTAGAAAAATGAGGACTGAAAACAACTTCCAAGACTATTCTGATAGCCTCTTGGACAACTTTCAGAGCTACAATAGGCAAAACAAGGACCTCTTTTGATTTATCTCTAGCCACAAGCGAGAACGTCTTGGAAGTGACATCAAACGCTCCACTAGAGAGCTCTTCTGCAATAGAATCAAACGCAACACTGCCATTTCCTTCTGTAATGGAAACATTAGAGTTAAGCCTAATACAGTCATAAGCGTCCCGAAGAGTTTCAGGCTTCGCAATCACCTTCTTCAACAGGTCACTAAACTTCCCGTTGTTGTATTGCTCCTTGACTCTTTTCTTCAAACGAAGCTCGAGAGATCTCTTTAGTTCCATACGACTTCTGGGTTTGATATCATCAACAACATGACAAGATTCCTCAACAAGACAAGCTAATTCACCAGCTAGTGAAAACATACCATTTTCCTTACTACTACCCATATCTACATTGTCTGTTGCAAGCAGACCCGGTTTCGAGTGCGTGGAGACTGCGCGACTCCATAGACCCCGAGAAACTAGGGTTTCGAGATCAACCCGACGCAACAATTCCGTAACTAAGCTCCGATTCCTAAACATCAGGTACAATTCCGATCCCCAAATCTAATAACTATTCGATTATATCCCGGACTAAGCCAGTTCAAGGTTCTACAGGAGAACGGAAACACAAACTCTTTGCTTAATTCGAAATACTTTGAGATCGAGACAGAAATGGAAGGAAACTTACGTTTAGATACGAAAACACGATTGGTCTGAGAAGGAAATGGAAGAAGCTTGCTTCAGAGGGATTAATGGAGAGAGATAGAGAACGCGGCGCACAGCGAAGTAAGTACTCGAGAAAATCGTG